TACTTGAGCGGCACGGAGCCAACTTGATAAACTAGCTTCCAGGCGGCGCTGTTGTCGCGGTCAATTTCTACGTTAGGGATTCCTATCTCTTTCCGTATATACACTCTTATCTATCTATATATTCAGTAATCTATGATTCCGTACCTATACCTCTTATCTATGGGAGATGAGGCGTATGTCTTATCTATGGTGTATGTCATAGACGGTCATAGAGCAGAGTAATATATACAGAAAGCGTATGTACCACAAACTAATAAGAGTACTAACGTATATATTATATGGTATGTACTATAGTTCGTGCCAAATCGATTGAGAAAAGGCGTAACTTACAAAATCTAAATTAAGATGTGATAACAATATTCAAATATTGATATTATTCTCACTTCTAGTTCAGCATATTTCATTTCATTTTCATTCATTTCTTTTATTGTTTCCTAAATAATATTGTCTGTGGTTCCTATAAACATCGTAAAATCTTACGGTACTTCGCGAAAAATGTGTTATATATTATATTTCACTTTATGGTAAGTAACGTAGCAATTCATTTAATAACAGTTTCATATTTAAAAAATATTTGAAGCAATATAATCACCATATTGAGCTTTTGCAAATTCATCCCTTTAAACAAAACGCGCGTTACGTCAGTTCGTTCTGAAAGAAACGTGACAATGGCAGCCAGAGATGAGTCACTTTTTTGAGCCAGCCCGCATGCACCGAATAAAAATAATGTTCTTATATAATGTTGAAAATATTGAAAAGTTTTATCTTCTGAATAAGTACGTAGTTATTCGGTGTCGTTATCACTCGAATCTTTATATGTGTTATAAATTAATGCTTTTTGTTGTTAAATGAATAAAGTACTTTATAACAATAGATGATTTTTCTTCTACAGCGATCTTTTACATAACTTTTTATTAATAGTTAATAAATATATATTATATCAATCATTATAAAAAAATCATTAAAAATAAAGAAAGTACTACATTTAAAAAGTGCCTATATATTGAAGGTTTGTAGCTCCTGGTTAAACGACCGAAAGCTCAATGTCCGTTTTTCTCAATCGATTTGGCACGAACTATAGAACTATAGTTAATCAAATCTAAGAAATACATTTTGACAGCTGTCAGACTTATTTCACCAAGCATGCCAACCTAAAAATGGGAACGTACAATATTCGATTCTTAAAAAATCGATACCCATTATTTAGAGTTGGTAATCATATACAGTTTGGTTTGAATAATATAAGAATAAATTAATAATGGATAATATAAAAAAAGATTTATCAGTTTCTTCGTATTTGTTGTTACTGCTTATTTCTAGAGGCACAGTTACAAAATTTAAGCTTGGAACTAAATTAAAAATAAATTTATTCAATCACTTTCGGTACAACTAGTCGAGCTATCGTTGTTTAGATTAATTATTATTTGATTTTCAATAATGCAGTCAAAATTAATGTCTCTTTCTAAGTCATCCATATTTAATTTTTTTGTTATTTCATACACTTTTGCCCAATCATCCTTTGTGACATGGGCACATGCTTCAACGAATATAGTAAAAACAGTCCAAAAAGTTAAAGCCGAGTCACAAAATCGGAAGACAAACAAAAAATTACGCACAGTAAGCTCCCGAAATGACGGGAGATTGAAATTACGTAGTGGTTTTTTAAGCGCGGCTTTGTGTATGAGTTTTTTTTTTGCCTACACGTTGATAAAGTAAAAAAATAAATTTATTTTATTCATGATTCGTGTAATTTAAGAAATTTTAACAATAAAAATTTAATTAAACAAATAATACATTAAAAATTAATGATTCGATTATTTGAATATTTTGATTTCTTATATTTACGCGAACACTACACATTGAAATAATACTAGTTTTTACGGAATTTATCGCGTATATTTAACTTTTTAAATACCCGACGTTTCGAACGCTTTACAGCACTCATGGTCACGGGCGGGACTGAGATGTTCAACGTCCAGATGTCATAGTTAACCGCGGTTACCATAGATTAAAATTTTAACTTTTGTTCCGATCTAAACAATATGAACTTCTGGTATCTTGAAGTCTTGCAGTTGTATGCTTGGTTTGGGATTTAATTTTATTTAGTATAGGATCCCAAGCAGATGGTAGCACCCAGCCATCTTCTTTATTGAAATTAGGATGTTTTTTGATTTCAATAGCATAGCGAATCATCCTTGGAAGGAATCGGTGTTCTTTAGCGAGGATTTGTGGTCTATCAAATCTGATGTAGTGATGGGGGCGATCCTGTACGTGTTCACAGACTGCAGACTTCCCGGAGCGTTGATTCTTCACATCAGCTATATCTTCTTTAACGCGGGTTTTAATTGGTCTTTTAGTTCGTCCTATGTAGGAGAGACCACATTCACAATCAAGCTTGTACACTCCTGCATCATGCAGAGGCACATTTTTTTTATAGAATAGGGTGACAAACGAGCACATAGTCCACCTGATGGTAAGTGGTTGCTGCGGCCCATAGATATCTACATCTATCCTCCATTAAAAATCAAAATGCAGATGCGTTGTCACCCGTGAGGACTGAGATGGAACGCCTCGTTTCCAGTAAAAAAAGGTCTCCGGTTCTCTACACTCACCATACGAAATACAGCAGCATTAAGCTACTATTTCACGCTGGTATTCTGTGAAAGCGTGGTCCTTCCCCGGTCGAGCCGACCCATTCGTGCTACAACTATACTACTAATATAAATGCAGCATGGCTCTACCACATTACGCTTGACTGATGGTAAAAACTGACCAATCTTTTTCAGCGGCTTCAAGTATGTTTTGATGGAAGCGCGCTTCAAGATGTAGCCAATCTTGTCAGTGAATCCTCTAACATATGGCAGTACAGAAGGTACACGCTCGACTGTGGCCGGCTTCACTCGTTCACTGTGACGTAGGCGCGGGACCCGAAGCTTGTTGTCATGCAAAAGTTGCTTGACATGGTGGAGCTCGGCAGCCAGGTGTTTACTGTCACAGATCCCTCGTGCTCTCTGAAAAAAAGATTTACCCACGGTAGCTAACTGTGAAGGATGGTGGTGAGAATCACCGTTTAAATATCTATCTGTATGGGTCTTTTTTCTATACATAGTATGGCTCAAGGTGTTATCAAGATTCCGAATTACTAACAAATCTAGAAAAGCTAAGGAATTATTTGCCTCTAACTCCATTGTGAACTGAATTTTAGAATTTATAGAGTTAAGATGGTCTAAAAATGCAGTTACTTTATCTAAAGGTAGAATTGTGAGTGTCGTCTACGTACCGCTTGTAGAATCGTGATAGAAAGTTGGATCTCCCAAACTCGAGTTTGGGCTGGCTGACTGCCTGCACACGAACCAATCAATTGAACTAAGAGTAATGGACGCGAGACATGGTCAGTTAAAGTCATCAGTTGAACTGATATCCATGGAGGTTAGAGGGAAGGAGAACGATCGCTACCTTATAAAGCATAGCCCGGCTGTCCCTGAAAATTTGTAGAATTTATAGCGGCGCTGCCGTCGGTGACTAGTGGCTGCGAAGTTAGCTGTTTATGAGTACAATCAGATGAAGTTAGTTGAATAATGAACAAATTTTCTTCGCGGCATTGGTGCGAAAATAATCGTGCTCCGTAATTTTTTGACAAAAAGAAACATTAAAAAATGGAGAAATATTTTATTGTGCGTGGATGTGCAAGTGGTTTAGCATCTAATCGGAAAAACAGACTGAATATGACTTTTATTGAGAGAACTTAGCGATCGCAGTGCCTTACTTATTTTGTCCATATTTCTGAGATACTATTTTCTACAGTGATCGTTCTCCTTCTCTTTGACCTCCATGATGATATCAGTTCAAACGATTTTAAGCCAAAGAAACTACCACACACACGGTCAGTTCAACTGATCGTATGTGTGGCTTAATCTTAAATAGAAATGTAATTTTCTATTTAAGATTAAGAAAAATTAAAAAGCTTTACTTCAGTTCAACTGATCGTTCCAACTACACAGTTCAAACTAGGGTTGTTGATATTTTTTAGAATGTCGGATTTTCGATATATCGATAATTATAAATATATCAATATCGGAGTTTTATATATCGTGATTTATAAAACTCCCACTATAATCAATATATCGAAAAACCGACATTATGAAAAATATCAACAGCCCTAGTTTGAACTGAGAAGTTGGAACGATCAGTTGAACTGAAGTAAAGATGTAATAAGTTTCGTAGATCATAGTAATTTGAATACTACAGAGATATACTATACAAAATTACATTTCTATTTAAGATTAAGCAAATAAATAAACTGGGGAAATATTAAAAGCATAATATAGTGTATACAAATAAATTACAGTAGATTGGGTATTAGCAGATTAAATTATTTCGAGAAAATATAAAAAAATTAAATTTTTTATTGAAGAATATATCGACTGTCGATATCCATATTTCAACGCTTAGTCCATCGCGTGACCATGGTATTGCCCCGCCACTGCGTCATCAAGCGAACGCGCTAAAGCTGTGGCTACACTAACGGGAAACGTAAATGCCGATAAACGCTATAAATTTAACGTGATAAAGTTAACGGCTACACATGAACGCTTAACGTCATTAAGTTTCAATGCCATTGAGCGGCGTTAAAGTTGGTGTTAATGTTCCTTGAAGACTTTTTACATTTGTAATGCTACGGCTACAATAACGAGAAACGTCAATGCCCATAAGCGCAACAATTATTGCCTTAAATTTAACGCGATAAAGTGAGTGGCTACGCTTGAACGGTCAACGTCGTTTCAATTTCAATGCCGTTGAATGGCGTTAAAGTTGCCGTTGAACGGCGTTAAATGTTTTTTAAGTTAAATGTTCCTTGAATTTCAAGCAAGATGGACGTTGACGCAGCTACTTCATATTTGATGAGTGTAAATTTTCATCGTTTCGAATGCGAACCAATTAGTTGTATACACGTCCTTTGTGGCAGCTGTGGACTTCAAATACTTTTTATACTTGTTCAAATGGGTTCTATAACCACTGACACGTCCATGGATACTACGCCATCCAAAATAAAAATTGCCTTGTACGTCCTGGATACTAGTGTAGCCAAAGCGTTAAGTTTTATAAAACTGACATCTAGGGACAATCTGCAGTACGTTTTGTGAGTTTTATTTATGGAATCAATAGCTGACGAATTACTTTACGTATCAAATACGAGATGGCAGTATAACAAGTCTTGACGAATGAACCATAAATATCTTACTTCAGTATCGGTGTTCTGTGTTTTGTGAACAAGTGTTTTTGGAGTGCCAGCGATTATGTCGTAAGTACTTTAGTTTAATTTAATATTTCGTAGATTATTATACGTCAAAGTAAACTAGATGATTTGTGCTTTATAATTACGTATATATATCACAGTTCTAAGTGTAAAATCGAGTCATATTTTAAATTCAAAGTATAGCTGTTTCGAAAAAATGGCCGCTCAAGTTGTCGGCCCAATTTTAGTTTTGTTAACTTAGTTTTTCAGTAAAATTATATTTAAGCAACGAGTAATAGTTGTAATAAACATAATAATGCACTTTGCAAACAGAATTAAACTATATTCACTGAAGATTCCTTAGAAATGTTATTGTGTTCCTCAGGTCTTTTGTTGTGGATAGTTTGATATCCACGGACGTAACTACAATGGCTCTAAATAAGGGTCGGTACAAATAGCAAAGTATGCTTGCAATATGTTTCGCTTTCTTATTTTTTGTGGTCGAGGTCTTGGTTGGTTTGGGTCTTGAGTTTTTTTTTTCGCTTAGTTGGTTGTGTAATTGTGTTTCATCATGCTCTTATCTCATAGTTTTTGTTCTTGTGTTATATTAATGTTATGTTTGTTCGTGATTGTCGACTTTTGCTCTCTTTTCTATTTAACTTCACTTTACTTACATGGAGGATGTGTTCTACGATTTCAAATCACTTTACTTTCCTTGTGATGTATTGACAATAATTTAATTCTCATATTTATTCAAAATCATTCATTTTTCGGTATACGGTTTTCGCTTTGCACCACTGCTCAATGTCTGGCGCCAGTTTAGAAGTTGTCGTATTATTTATTATGTAGATCTCTTCATGTAGAACGCTTTTCAAAAGAAATTACATTGAAGAACCTCATAACTTTCGAGAAAAAAAATCCTAAATAAAAATGGCTTTTGTTATGTAATCATATAATAAAAAAGGGTCCTTACTGCCATAAAAAATAGCTTCTATTAAAAAGCGACCCCAGAGATTGCACCGTACTTTCCATCATTTACTTAATATTGTGCTATATAGCCTATAACCGTTATAGGGTCCCTTCTATCACTGTACCAAAAGTCATCAAAATCAGTTCAGCCGTTTTGACGTGAAAACGGGACATATATACTAACAAACATACAGACTTTCGCATTTATAATACATGTTATTAGGGATTGGATACCTACTCATTTAAAATAACTCTCTTCTAAGTTGACGCGGGTAATTTTTAATGCTTCTTTACCACATTATTATTGTTTTTTTCCCTGATGATATTAATGGTTTAAATTAATACATACAACAATTTTAGATCACCGACCGAAACTAACTTAGCTCGTGGAAGTCGTAGAGGCCGAGGGGTTCGTACTAGAGGTGGGAGGGGACCATCTCAAGTTAGGAGGTATTTTCTATTTTTAGTAATTTTGTTACTAAAAACTACTTTCGTACATTTTGTTTTTCTCATCTTATATTAGATATGTAGTCAAGTTTTAAATAATTATATTATATTATAGATCACCTAGTGAAAATGATCTGCCGTCTAACGACGGGAGCCATAGAGGCCATGGTAGTCGTGGCGACCGTGGCAACCATTATGGTGGAGAACGCCCTAACAGTCGGAGACACCGGGGAGGCCGAAGAGGACGCGGAGGACACGACAATCAGCCCTCCCAAGCAAGGATGTAAGTATATTTTACACAGATTTATTGTTGGACTATTATTTTTGATACTACAGGATATTATTTCTTTGTAGCAGTGAACTAGACTTAATTCGCGCTCAGCGGCAGCTCACCCAGAAGCGTGTTGCAGCGCTGCCAGCAGAAGTAAAAAGGGAGCTTTTAACTCGCAAGCGTGACTCTGAGGTTGCTAGAGTTATAATGCCTGACGCGCCTCCGCGCAAAAGGCGCGCCCGGTAAATGTATTTACTACATACTTTATCATAATTTAGCAACACGTGTTTACTAAGTTTTCTTTTTCTGGCAGATTGGCGTCGCCGGAGCGCGAAACATGCGAGTTCATGGAACCAGAATGTGATAGCCAGCGTAAAAAAATTATTATTTTAGGTAAAGAGTCATTTGTTGTTAATAATTTTACTATATTGTTATTGTTTTATATTTGAATTAATATTATTTGTTTTAGAGGATATACAATTGGTGCCCCCCAAACACGCCGAAATCATGGCTAACGTCGAGATACGTAAGTAAATGTTTTACTATACCTAAGCCTGTTCCCAAACTTTATTTTATGACTTAATTAACCTGATGCTTTTTGTTACAGATAACATTCAACAATCGCCGCCCGGGGATGTCGAGATAGGTAAGAAAATATTTTACTACACCTGAACCTTTTCACAATCTTATTCTTTATGACTTGATTAACCTGATGCTGTTTGTTACAGATGAAATTCAACTATCTCCGCCCAGGGACGTGGAGATACGTAAGTAAATATATTGCTAGGCCTATGTATTATTCATTTTATAAGAATCCTAAGCCTCATATTGTTTGTTACAGAAGACCTGAAACCTAGAGATTTGCTGCGTATCGGTACGTCAGACCTCGATACCGTCCCTTATTCTCCCGACTACTTAGACAGTCTGGATCCGGATCGCTTAGATACGGAGATCAATAGAGCCTTAATGGCAAAAACTCCTAAAAAAAGGGGCATACCTTCTGCAAATTCTTCCTCAATAAATCCCTTGATAGATTGAACACACATACACTCTCGCACATTCATACACTACACACATACACCTAAAAAATTATTATTGAATCTTTTTATTTTTAATGTTTTCCCTTTTTTGAAGTCTTTCTGCTTCTTCGTCAAAGGCCAATTCTGGTCACATTCATAGAGATAAATTCTAGTGAAAGTTAAGGTCAATTTGAAGTTGAAGTAAACAATTTATTTAAGCATAATTCTATTTCAGGAAACAATATGGTAGCCGAGGCTGATGACGAAGTAACTGTGACGCCTTCCACTAGCAAACAGCGTACTTCGATTGGTACGCATTATTCAATCTAGAAGTCAAATATAGAAAACCACGAATTGTTAACAGTAAGTTTTTTTTTTCAGGGGTTATTGACAAGAATTTCGACGTTGTCGTTGGCGACTGGATAAAACTGACCGATGACCTAAGTGACTGTGACATGGACACAGAAAACGAGGACTGCTTTCTCCCTGTCATGACCTCACGCAACGCTACGGCGGAGCCTGCAGCTGAAACTGACATGACGTTGTACGAGGTTCGTATACTAGAGACAGAAGACCGACGAAATGACCTAGCAATCAGGGAGATCGCACCACATGACTGTTACAATTTTGAGTGGAAAAGAGATCGACAGACTTTTACAGGACAACGAGAAAATTTTACCGGGACTCCAGGACCGACATTTTCGATTACAGAGGAGACTAGTATCGTCGAAATTTTTTATAAAATGATCGACAGCGACTTTATAGACAGAATTTGCACAGAGACTAACAGATATGCCGACCAAAAAATAAAATTATTGAAAGACCAGAACAAATTCTTACCGACTTTAAGACTACACCGATGGACACCGACGGACAGGGATGAAATGGTCAGTTTTCTAGCCATATCAATTCTTCAAGGGCTATACCCCCTGCAGGAAGAGGAGTCCTATTTTAGTTTCAATGGTTTTGGCACTATGCCTTACTTCCGAAAAATAATGTCGTACAATAGATTTTTATTATTGAAGTCACTGATCCATTTCGTCGACAATGAGACAATTACAGAACCAAAGAAACTGTGCAAAATTCAAATGGTGACTGACTATTTCAACGAAAAGTTCTCGCATTTATATTATCCTTCCCAGGAGGTTGTCATTGACGAATCCCTTCTGAAGTGGCATGGGCGACTAGGCTTCGCTCAGAAGATTTCGTCAAAGGCTGCGCAAGTCGGAGTGAAGACTTATGAGCTTTGTGAGTCTTCCTCTGGTTATCTTTGGAAGTTTTTTATTTATGCGGGAAAAGAAAAGACTGGGACTGCGACTGCAACAGCTACATCTAACGAGACTAACCCTATTGACACTGACGAAAGACCTGATGATACAGACACGACTGAACATGTCATAACTGGCAGTAGCGATGTACGTCCCAGCAATGCTACTGCCAAAATAGTTTACGACTTAGTAGAACCTCTACTTCACCGCGGACACACGTTAATAATGGACAATTTTTACAATTGTCCATTATTAGCGCGGTGTCTGAAACGACAACAGACAGACTGCTTTGGGACCTTACGACTGAATCGGGAATTCGTTCCCGATTCATTGAAGACAATAACAAAAACAGAACTAAGACAAGGTGAAGTATTGGCAAGCTACTGTTCCGATTTGTCGGTAATCGTATGGCGAGATGCTAACCTAGTTAGCATGCTCTCGACATACCATTCCCTCCAAATCGGTACGCGACAAAAATATGACCGACTGACATACAAGCCAAGCGTTGTCCTGGACTACAATAAGTCCATGGGAGGAGTGGACAGGAAAGACCAGTTCTTGTCTGCTCAGCCCATGGAACGTGTACGAAATAAAATTTGGTATAAAAAAGGTATTTCGTCGTCTTTTTAACTGTGCCATTTTTAATTGTTTTGTTTTATTTAAAACGGCTAATCCAAATATATCACACAGACAGTTCAGGACAACTTTGGCGGAAGACTTACTAAAGTTACACCGACATATTGACCTCACGACAGAACCACGACTTATGAATTCGAGAACCGGACTGATGAAAAGGCCAACGACAACCACGACCAGCAGACCTAAAGTCGAGCATCGACATTTCCCAGTTAAAACTGGCTTTAAGCAAAGTCGCTGTTGGTTGTGCGCCCAGCGAAAAGTCACAGCCAGAACTATTTGGAAGTGCCTAGAATGCAACATAAATCTATGCATTGATGGTTGCTTTATGCAGTACCATACATAATTTATTTTGTTTTATTTATTTATTTTAGTTTTAATTTAGTCCTTTTTTTTGTAAATATTTAGTTTGTAATCAATTCCTAGTTTTAAATAAAATATTTAATTAGCAATAAATTTACTTGAAATAGTCAATGATAATTATAGTAAGTAAAGGTTTGTGAAAAAAAATATATTTATTATGTCAATATACTGTACATTGATTTTATTATTTGTGTTTAATTTAAAACCCCAACTAAAAAAACTCATAACTACCTTTTTTTAAGTTGCGTAAATTACAAAGTGTGAATGAGACCTTAGATAGGCGGCCATCTTGCTTATATTTTGCCTTCGCAAGCGAGTCGAAAGCGCTCAAGACATCGCAGTAAAATTACGAGGAGTAGGTGTTTTGTTACAATTTATTTAACTACTTAGCGTTAATTAAACATAAACATCTATGCATTATAAGAAAGGAAAATACGTCTAGTTTGTTGTTGCATTATTTTATTGGTAAAAAAATACAATATTTCTTCGTTGTGGTGTAAATTAATAAAATTTATACGTTTATTTTTCTCCGAATTCAATGTTAACACTCGTTTTTAATATCTTAAATTAAGTTTTTAGATCTTAAAATATACATAGGTTTAATCTGTATTCTTCTATCAATTTTTCGTAGTTTTTTTCTTTACTCTAGCTATTATAGTTAAGAAGCTATGTAGGGTTTTTGTTACAAGATGCGAGCGCGGTAGCACCCGAATCAGGGCCGCGCTTATCCGGACGTACAAGGGTATAACAATCGCGCGGGCTGGACGCTTGAGTGGATAATAACCAATCAGGCTTTCCTTCTTCTATTTAATTTCTTCAATAGTTATTTGAAAAGATAACTGGTTGCGCGGAAAACCATTCGTATTTTATTTATATTTGACGGTAGGCTTGCCAAATCGTTTATCCCTTTCCAAAACGATAACATTCATACCCTCCTATCGACACATCGGGGTGGTGGGGTGGGAGGGGAAAGAAGATGATTCTAGAATATTACGCGATCATCGCAACCGAAGGAATAAAAGGGCACGCGCGGCCGACGCGCGCTCTCTTCCCGTCGCGCTCGTCGTTAGAACCACCGCTTAAGACAATAGTGTCATAGAATTGTTAACCGCTTTAGCCTGGAAGCAGTCGAGCTCCAGGAAACCCGCCTCACCTCGTGTGAGAAATTGGCACCGCACTTCTCCCGACGCATCACCGGACAAGAAAGCATCTCTGGGGCCCCAGAGTGTCTTCCAGAGGTCGCAGCGCAGCAACATAACATAGTGCCCAAGCCGCATAGAAGCAACACCCCGGTGAGTGAACATTCCTACTAGTTCCTGCTTGATATAATTGTGTTTAATAGTTAATCCGCTCCAATTTTCATTTTCTCCTAATCAAGCAGGATTCCTTTCATAGATTTTGGCAAGTAATAGTTCGTTTTAGGGAAGAGCGAGTGCATTGTATGGGAAACCGCGTGCTATAGTCGCCATTTTGTGTAAACGAAGAAGCATTTCGCATATACAGTCCATTTGGGTTTAACATCTCGCGTAATAGGCTTAAGGCTCGACCGGGGAATTGGACTTCGGTAACCTTAGGCTCGTCGCTCCACCATTTTATGGTCCTTCGAGCCGGATTTGGACTGGTGTTTAGTAGTCGTTCAACCATTTTCTGGTCGAATTATTAGATTAATTACTTAGACAATGCACTCTAATTTTATGAAATAGACTTAAATAGTGTTCGTTTAGTTTAAAATTAAACTTCGGTTAGTTACTTGCAAATAGAATTAATTATTCATTTTAATAGTGTTCGTTTAGTTTAAAATTAAACTTTTGGTTAGTTACTTGCAAATAGAATTAATTCTTCATTTTAATAGTATTCGTTTAGTTTAAATTTAAATTTTGGTTAGTTACTCGCAAATAGAATTATTCATTTAAATAGTGTTTGTATTTGGTTTAAATTTAAAGCTTATTAGTCGCTTAAGTAATTGAAACAGTGTAATCACACGCGTTTTGTACGCTTACCCGACAATTTTGATAAAAAATATTATGAGTTTAGCGAGCGACGCGCGTCACTTCGGCTCGCTGTACAGGTGTTCAATTTAACGACGTAATACGGCACGCGTGTCCATCCTCCAGCGTTGTGCGATTAATTGTGATTAATCTAATATTAATTACAATAATTTAAAATGGCAGTTAGTGGAAATGAAATTAAAATTAAAACGCTTTATGCCAAGAGGGACATACTTTTTTCACGTATACAAAGTATTAGTGATCACATAAAGAACATTAATGTAGAAGCAGTGCGGGAAACTTTTTTTAAATGAAATTGAAACGGTGGATTCTTTGTGGACGGATTACGACAGGATATAAGACCAAATTAATCATTTGGAATTACAAATTGACCCGAAATATATAGTGAACTACCAACCGCTTCTAGCATTTGAAGATATGTTGTGTCGCGTGAAAAGAACGGCGAAGCTCTTGCAGTCCCCATCTCAAAACGAAGCAAAGCCGGAAGTCCAGGTACGCTCACGTGACTCGATTAGATTGCCGCCAATAGATATTCCAGTATTCAATGGCGATATTAAGACATGACCCTTCTTCTTCAGTAGTTTTCAAAACAATATACATAATAACCCATCGTTATCGGACGCTGAAAAATTATATTATTTAATTAGTAAACTTAGGGGCAGGGCACAGTCAATTTGCTCGGGTTTTACACCTACAGCAAACAATTACTTGTTAATATTCGAAACGCTTAAAACTAAATATGAAGATAGGAGAATGTTAGCTTCCGAATATTTGAACCAGATATTCGATCTTAAACCTATATCATCCGCGAACATCAACGGCTTAGAGCAGTTTTTAGATAAATTTGTGGCATCGGTGGCTGCACTTAAGAACTTGAAATTTAATGACCTTATGGACGTGGTGTTTCTCCATATTGCACTAAAGAAATTAGACCCCGACACCGTGCGTGCGTTTGAAATGGAGCATCGTAGCTCGGAGATGCCTTCCTTTCATTCATTAGCATCGTTTGTGCGAGATCAAATTAAAGTGATGCAGCGCTCCTCGAACGTTAAACAAGAAATTAAAAAATGCGTCGACCGTAGACAGACTCAACCATCTAAAACAGCAGGGTCGTTAACGTACGTAACCGCTACGTCGGCACCACTTCAGCATGCCTGTATCATATGTAAAGATAAACACCGGTAATTTATACAATTGTGCGACCTTTCGTAAATAGTCACCAAGCGAACGTTATAGAATAGTAAAGACGAACAACCTATGTCTGAACTGCTTAAGCGATAAGCATTTAGTTGCAAAATGCAATTCTAGTTCCGTATGTAACAAGTGCGCCAGGAAACATCACACGTTATTACATTTTGAAAATAGCAACATATCGGCGTCAAGTAAAGCGGACAAGGAATTCACCCCTACTAAAGTCAACGATTCTAGCGGTCGACCTGGTGATGTCGCTCTGTGCTCATTGGCAAATATGGGAGCACAACCTTCTTCAACCGTGTTACTGGGTACGGCACGTATTTTGGTTAGGGATTCGCGTGGAAACGAACAAGGCGTCCGTGCACTGCTGGACAGCGGAGCCCAAAATAGCTTTATAACGCGACAATGTTGTCAGCGCTTATGCTTAGTAATAAATAGGTCACTCTCATGTCCCGTAGTCAAAGGCATCGGAGGTACTAGTAAAGTTACCCAGGGATATACAAATTTAAATTTTTATTCTCGGATAGATCGTAATGTTAACTTTTATATAAATGCACTAGTAGTAGATAGGGTCACTGAACGGCTGCCAACCGTTTCGGTTGACACCTCGGCAATGATTGAATTTAAAAATTTGACTCTAGCAGACGACACTTACGCCGTTCCTGGAAACGTAGACATGCTCATTGGAGCATCGCTTTTCCCTCATCTTTTGTTAAACAATAAGGTCAGGGGCAACTCCTCGCATACCGCGCCTTACGCACTGGAAACCGTATTGGGCTATGTCATCGTTGGCTCCGCCCCCATCATAGATAATATTTCGGCAACCTCTTATTGTTGTATGGCTGTAGAACCGCTCGAGTCGTTAGTCCGCAAATTTTGGGAGATGGAGGAGGTGAACGTCCCACCCATAGCTAGCTCAGATGACAGATTATGCGAGGAAATTTACGTCCGCACGACCGTTCGTGATCGCGACGGTAGATATAGTGTAGCGCTACCCTTTAAAGGAGATGTTTTATCTCTCGGCGATTCGCGTCAAATGGCGGAAAAACGTTTCTACAGCTTGGAGCGTAGGATGCTCGCTTCACCCCAGTTAAAAGAAGCTTATGACGGCGTCATTAACGAATATATAAGGGAAGGTTACATATCACTTGTGGCTTCGAAATTAGATTACTACGAAGACACACCGTCGTATTTCATACCACACCACGGGGTCATTAGGGAGGACAAACTTACATCTAAGTTACGTGTAGTGCTCGACGCTAGTGCTAAAACTAGCACTCACCTGTCGCTTAACGATATCCTCTATAGTGGGCAAAATTTACAGGGCAGTTTATTTAATATAATAGCCAATTTTCGTTTGTTTAGTATAGCACTATCCGCCGATATTCGCCAAATGTTTCTTTGCATAGGGGTCCGTGAATGCGACCGTAGATTCCAACGCATTTTATATCGTTTCAACCCAAAGGAACCTCTAATGGTGTTTGAATTTAACCGCGTTTGCTTTGGTTTAAAGTCGAGCCCATTTCATGCGTTACGCACGGT